GATCAGCTTGGCCCGGACCAGGGCCTCATATTGACGGAAGGCCCGGGTGCGCCAGCTAAGGTAGTCCCGGAGGTCCGGGGGGTCGTTCGAGGACGTGATTCCGTTGTTGATCAGGGGGTCAAGTCCGTGGCGGAACTTGGTCACCTTGACCAACGCGTCTTGAATCCGGCGAGGTCCATCAGGTCCTCGAAGTCGTCGGTGTACTGGTAGACATCCTTTGTGCCCATGTGATAGGCGGAAGTCTCCAGTTTGGAGAGAGCATGATCTTGCTCGTTCTCCTCGACGAACCGGAGTCGAAACTCGGAAACGAACGAGCCCCAGGACGGAAACGGAAACGGGGCTTTGCTTCCGTGGCGCTCCGCCCATTGCTGAGCGGGTCCTTCTGCCATAAACGACATGGCATAGCGGGACGGCCCTTTTCCTCACTCGCCTCTCCGTTGACCACAAAGGCCTCAGGGGCAAGGCGGGCGAGGTGCGGACCAGAAGAGGGAGCGGCCGCGTTTCCGATCGCCGTTGAAGGTGAACGGAGGGTTTGGTCGTAAGACCAATTTTGAGGCGAGGTTGATGTCGCCAAAGAGGGCCTCGGAATCGCCCTGAACCGGAGTCGGAGTCGGAATCGACGTCTCCGGGGGTAGTGTTGTTTGGGGTCCGCCAGCAGTATTAGCGGCGGCAGCGGCAGCGGAAGCCTGGGTGGTGAGAAGAGTAAGGGCCTCAGTTAGGCGGTCGATTTTCGCCTCGAGTGCATCCAGCCGAGTGTCAGCGTCAGGAGTAGCTCCGGAAGGCATGACAGGTGCGGGGACGACAGGAGTGACAGAGGAGGAGGGGACAAGTGGTAGGGGCGGTGACGAGGGCGGAACGGACTCGTATTCTGAGCCTGAGTCAGCGCCGAACCTAGCAATCTTGTCCGGTTGATCCCGTAGAGAGTTTCTTCTGCTGTAAGGGCAACCCCGGAGGCCTGAGATCAAGGTCCTAGCAGGGGAGGATCCAAAGAGTGAATAACAGTAAGCAAATACAAAGGAAGCTGACCTAGCAGGGGAGGATCCAAAGAGAAGAAACTCTAAGGGTCCGCCTGCTAGGTAGCTGAACTATATACTGCGCTCTTGACGCGCCAAGGTTGATCGTTGCTCCGTGCAGTATGCCTGCGCCATGTCGCAGGCCAGGTCCCAGGGGGATCGCCAGGCGGGGGCGGTGATGCGATTGATGGCGGTGATGCGATCACCGGAGTCGGAATCGGGTCGATTACGGGCCGAAAGGGAGGTTCCCCTGACAGCTGTATGCATTGATAAATCGCCTTCCTGGGTTCTTGAGGAGTGTCTGACATCTCAGAGAGGTCGGAGATTGTAGCATCAACTATCTTCGCTGCTGCCTGGCCCCGTGCAGCAGCAGCCAGCTGCGTTTTGCGCTTGCAGCCCATCTTTCAAAGCCTTTGGTGGTTGTAAACAGTGTAGAAGTTTGTATTTTGCAACAGTATATATGTCAGCGTCGGGCTCAGGCCGTATCGGGGCGTCAGGGGGGTCCGACTTTGAGAGGGTCTAAGGAGCACGAGAGATGGGTGTTAGCCCAGAGAATAGACGATATTAGCCTAGCGACTACATCTTGTAAGTACGGTTTTTATACGCTACGATATTAGAGATGGATCGAATGGGCGCCAGGTCCCAGGGCGGATCGGATGGGCGCTGCGTAGGGCTGCAGGGGTGAAGGGAAGGGGTTGGAAGAATGAGGGAGCATCGAGGAGTAGGCGGTTGTGCAGGCCCATACGGGCCCATACGGCCCCATGGCCCGGCGGCCCGCCGCCCAACCCAAACCGTAACATCACCCCCCTCCGTTGTGGGCGGCCCTCCCGCGCCTTCAAGTTTGTCCCACAATTCCCACATCCACTCTTCCCGAGGGTAGCCCTTCCATTGAATTAAATACTTCAGGCGGTGTCATCCTTGTTTGCGTACGAGGGAGATGGCCTCTACTTCATAGTGTGGCTCCCCGTCCCGCATCTCGGCGGCGGGGCGGCCTGTTGATGGTCTGCTACTGGGGCGTTCCAGGGCCGTAACAGCGCGGTGTGGAACACGGGGCTCACGCGCCATGTGGGGGGCAAGATTAGTTCGTAGGAAGTTTTGCTGACTTTCCGCTTGACTTCAAAAGGCCCGAATCTTTTGTCGTCCAGTTTTTTCAAGGGCCAGTCGAAGGGAAGGGGTTGGAAGAATGGGGGAGCGTTGAGGAGTATGGCGGTTGTGCGGGGGCCCGAGCAGGCCCGATCGGCCCCGTGCGTCCACGTGGCCCAGCGGCCCGACCCGAATCATGACAATATACAAAATGCACAACTTTTCTGGCAGTTCCGCTGCTCACATGATGTGATTATATAAGATTATATAAGCTGTCCATATTTGGTGGTGACTAGGTGCATTACACCATAGGTCTTGTCATTTACTTCAGTTACTTATGAGTTTAAATAGATATATATTGATTACTATTCGTACCTGTATCCACACTGACAAGTGTCAATATGGTTGACTTAGGTGAAAAAAGATCTTGGAGGTTTTGAAAACTTCAAATTATTCATTTCTTTTTTTAATAATTATTCATTTATATAGGAACCCTGGATAAAGCCCTGCTGGCACATCCCGGATTCCCACCTAATAACTGACAGTCAACTGTGGGCTACACAGGTGTTCAAATGAGCTCTCTCTCCCAGCTTTATCCACTCAGGTGAGCTTGAGATCCATGCTCATCTTTTAGAGTTGAGTCCAGAGGGGATCCAAAGAGAAAAAAACTCGAAAGGTCTGCCTGCTAGGGTGCCAACTATATACTGGTCGTCCGTGACTGCTGTTGTAGACTGCAGAAGGCCTGAGTGGCATCACCCACCACGTCCCAAGGCAATCATGGGGAGGGTCTTGATGGATTGGTGATTGTGAGGGTGAAGGAGGCTGTGGGCGATTGTCAGGATGGGTGGAGCGTCTGAGGGGGGGTGCTGGTTGGATGCACTTGGATAATCCGAAGGAGGCCGAAGTGGGGATTCCCCTGACAGATCCTCAAAAAAACTTCTTGCACCGGATTAGGCAAAATAGATCTTGTTGATGAAACGGTCACTGAAACAGTCAGGGAAAACCAGAAGCAACCCAATTGGAACGGCACATTCGGCCCGCTCAGCCGCTCCAATCGGGTCACTTCCGGTTTCCCCTGACAATTTCAGCAACCGTTTCATCAACGAGATATATTTTGCCTAATCCAGTGTGTCTGCTTCAGGCCCCTGTTTTTGCCTGAATCCCCAATATGTATAAGTACTGTAGTGAGATATTGGAGACACAGCATAGCTATTTTTTCTGTCATCTCTTGTAATTAGAAGTGAGACCGCACTGTAGCCTCACTTCTAATCAGAAGAGATATAAGTATGGGATTCACAGGTGGACATAGCACATGACAATTGCCTGTTAAGGTCAATCCAACACAGCCACTCCCACTTTAGCGCAGTAAATATGGCTGTCATCTTTATAGCTAGAGTCACAACTTCAGTTTAGCAATAAAAGACAGGCATGTATGTGTACCATGTGAGTCAAAAAACCCTTCTGGGCCGTAAGTAATGTCAAATCAAGAAATGAGTAATAGGTGATGAAAACGAGGATTTACGCCTGAGTTGGATGCAATAGCTCGCTCGGAAAGTCTGCAAGATGAACGGCACACAGTTCGGGCCGCAGCCAATCGACGACGTGCACGCGGAAGACGTTCTCTGCCTGGCACTGCTCGCGGGCCGTGCGTGCCGCGGTCCAGTCACAGTGTCCCGATGCGAGGCTGCCGTCGGCATCGACGATGTGCCCGTCGCAGCGCACGTTGAAGCACACCCGGCCTGGCGCTGGTGGACCACGGTCGCAATGCGTCGGCAAGCGGCTCGATGTCCCGCGTTGCGAGGCGGCGGATCGCAAGCGGCTCGAGTAAGACATCGATGGCAAGCCTGTGGAGGGCGGGACATGCCGCGCCGGCCCGCGAGAGCGCGTCAGGGAGGGTCTCGACGAGGAAGGGCCGCCAGAAGAAGACGCGTTGGCTGATGAAGGTTATGCGCAGCCGCGCCAGGCCGGGACAGGTTGTGAAATCGAGCGCGCGGAGGTGGCCCGGGAGCCGGAACGAGAGCTGGAGCGTTGAGAGGACGGTGCCTGTGTGGGCGAGGTAGGGCGTCAAGATGAGCCCGTTATGGAGCTCGATTGTGTTGATAGACACGCTCGTCGCGAGGGGGGCGGCTGTCGGGTTATTGAGCCACACTGCGAGCGGTTCATCGTTGCGCGTGGCTACGTTGGGATGGAGCTCCAATCTTTGCAACGTCCGCGGTAGCCTCCAGGGTATCTACTGACCCGCGGCCGTCGAAAACGAGACCCTGTCCAACACAAGTGTGCACAGCTCCGGTAGTGTGCGGAGGAGCACCAGAAGCTCGTCGAGTGCGTGGAGACGTATGGACGCGAGCGTCAGCCGCGTGACACTGCCCAGTGACACCGGGAACTGCTCGAGCCGGAGGAACGCCCAGTGATCGTCGTCTCCCACCATCCGAAGGCGCTCCAGGCAGCGGAAACGCGGAAAGAGCGTGTATAGCCGTCCGATAGGCGCGCGCCAGGCAGCGACGAGGCTGATTCCGCGCAGCCATCGCAGTAACGAACACGAAGGCAGTACCAGCATCTCAACGAAGGGGAAGAAAGTGTCGTCCGTCACCAGCAGCGTCGTTGATTTGGAGTGGTATTCGCGGGCGAGGGCGTGCCAATCGTGGCTGACGCGGCTGCAGCACCGTATCGTCGGCCCGCCATCGGCGAGGTGTGAGAAGATCGAGTCGACGAGCTCTAATGGGAGCTTAACAGACATCAATTTTGGAAAGCTTGAGGAACTTGGAAGGCAATTGTGATGACAAGGCTCGGATATAGCCAGCTCCCGAGTGACGCCTGTAGAGCTGTGACGAATGTTCAGTCAGAATGCGTCGAAGATAGACGCCGGAAGAGAGAAGGCGTGGTCACAGCGTGACGGAAATTTCTGGAGTCGACTTTCACTCCACTGGCAACATTAGCGCTGGTATTCATATGGACCGACGACTCCCCCCCGAACTCGAAAGAGAGGTTTTTGAGACTGCGGCGCTGCTTCACCGCGGGACAATCCCTCACATGCTGCGCGTTGCTCGGCGTGTTCTCGTATGGTAAGTGAGCACTACTAGTACAGCTTCTGGGAAGTCACCGTTAGCCCGGCAGGATCGAGCCTTACCTCTACCACGATCTCGAGCTGGGAATGGTCGTCTCCAAAGACGCCAACCGTCTTCTGCAGGTGATATTGGCCAAGGACGACGCCTTCCCCGCCCATGCTGTGCGCTCCGTCGTCCTCGGCGCATATTTCGCGGATCAGCTACCGGCACTGCCCGCCGCTGTCCGGAGTGCACTGACGCGCATGACGGGCGTCGTCCGCCTCGCGATAGCGGGGATTTGGGGCGACCACAGCGCGGAGATATTCTCGCTCGTCGCGGACATGCCCCTGCAGCGGCTGGCGTGCTACATGGAGGACCTCCTTGGGCCCGCGGCGCTGATGCACACCGCCCCCCGCCACACTCGCCGCCCGCCCCATCTTTCGCCGCCTGACCCACTTCCACGTCTTCGACGACGACGCGGACTCCGGGCTCTATGGCACCGTCCTCGCGGTCCTCACACAGCTCCCGGCGCTAACCCACTTGACGCTGACCTACCACCAGGCAGTCGGGGAGGATGACTTGCGCAATATCAAGAGACTGCTCACGGGATGTGCTGTGCTCCAGATCCTTGTATGTCTTGCGGGGGTCCCGGACATCGCTGGACGCAACGCCACGATGATAGGTGGGCTCGACTTCCGTCTCGTGTCGCTCGACTACAAGGAGTGGCGCGAGGGTATTCACGAACGTAATGGCCAAAGTTTCTGGGACAGTGCGGAAGCGCTTGTTGCGCAGAGATTGAGACATGTTCGGAGTCGATGAGATGTTGCCACGTCGTTATAGACATACCGACACCATACTAGTGTTATGTAGTACATTACATCAACATTACATAGTACAGCGGCAACTTGAATGATTCTAGACGTTAATTATAATTAGTAGCCGGAGTGTAACGCCAGTGTACACAGTGCAAAATGTGGTCAGAGATCTTCAAGTTCCACCAAGTATATACTTACCTGACAATGCAGAGAGCATAGCATGCTCAAAAGTAGCCATAGCCCGGTAGCGGGAGCTTGTCGCTAGGTAGTTTGTGAAAGTTGATTTTAGGATTGGATTTTTTGTGTCACAGAGTCACTGTCACGTTTTGTGTCACGGTCTTTTGATGCCACCCTCTCCATGCTCTCCATCGTCGACGTCCTCAGGATGCGTCACCCACCTTCATTACGGCTTTCTGTGCACGAATTACATTTTATCAACGGGCCACACAGCGGCCTCAAGTGGCCGCGCATCTGGATTCAAGTTCCGTATTAGTTGAATGAAAACACGGCGTGCACGGAGGACTTCCGACTTCCGCTACTTCCTTGCTGGCGACCATGCTGCTCAGCGCTTTCCTGGCACTAACTTTTTCACTGCTCGCGACTGCAGGTGACGACGGTGGCTTGACTGGGCCTACAAGCAGCACAGAAGCGGCAGGCTACTCCTGCGACCCGGCAAAGTGCAAGCTGCCGAAATGCAATTGCGCGAGCACCAGTCCGCCCGGAGGACTCGATCCGGTGAGTTGCGGGGCCTAGCTCTTGGATACCACATTTGGAACTCTCCTCTAGAAAGACGTTCCGATGTTCGTCATCTTCACCGCCGACGACGCCGTCCAGTCATACACGCTTGACGCCGTCAACCAGTTCCTCGCGCAGCGCAGTAACCCAAATGGCTGCCGGCCCAAGATGACATACTTCACGTCGCTCAACTACACCAACTACACACTTGTCACCGGTGCGGTTTGCCTCTAATTATTTCTGAAGTAGAAACTTAACGCATACCTAAAAGACTGGTATGTTGCCGGCAACGAGATCGCCGACCACACGATGACACACGTTGGAGACCCGTCTGAGGCAGAGATCAACGGGAATCTTGTCGCGCTCAACTCCCTAGCGGGCATTCCGTATACCGCTATTCAAGGCTTCCGCGCACCATACCTCAATTACTCGGTCGACACGCTGAAGCTGCTCGCCAAAGCAGGGTTCACATATGATTCGTCCGCCTCCGCCTCCATCCCCGTGGTCGAAAAAGGGACGGACGCGTTCTGGCCTTACACGCTCGACAACGGCATGGCAAACGACTGCCTCCAGGTCCAAGGCTCCTGCAAAGGCCAGCCCGTCCTTCCAGGCTTTTGGGAGATCCCCATGTATGCCTTTTTCGACAACAAGGGGCCCGCCGGCCCACACCTCATGGACCCCTGGCTGGACTTCGCCAACGGGGCCTCCAAAATCAACGATTCAGCCACCCTTGAATACATGAAGAATACTTTTACCGCTCATTACGACAGAAACCGCCAACCCATCGGGCTGTACATGCACCCGAGTCATCTAAGCATGACCGATCCGGGCGTGAACCCGTCGATATCCATGATCAACATGATCAACGAGTTTTTGGATTGGGCTCAAATGCAGCAGAATGGTGTGTAGATTCGTGCCCTCCTCCTCTGTGAAACGCATGAAATAGAAGCACTGGTGAAAGTGGAAACCCAACTAACACACAACACAACTAGATCAAAACGAGTGAGGTCGGGGCTCCATGCAAAGTATATGCATGCTGCAACCCATAAGAAGAAGAGGGTGATGACAAAGCTGAGTGGGAACCATAGGTAGAGAGGTGGTAGTGATGATGTAGGGGATGTGGGTATGGGTGTGAGTGTAGATGTGGACATAGGTGTGGGTGTAGATGTGGGTGTGTATGTGGGTGTGTATGTGGGTGTGGGTGTGGGTGTGGGTGTGGGTGTGGATGTGGATGTAGGTAGATGAGACCTGCTCACTAGATGATAAGAGGAAAGACCAGCTCCCTCTAACCACCAACCCAATATGCAACTAAACCCCAAACCAAAACAACCTCCCAACATGGCAATAGTCACAGTCACAGTGATGTTGAATATGTTTGTTGTTGTTGATATATTATTTGTTGTTTTTATTGTTGTGGTGGAAAGCACTGAAGCCAGCATTAAGAGCATCAAACAATATGCCATATATAGCAATAATGTTCCAGATATGGGTCGCTCCATCAGGTGAGGGCGACGTTCCATATTAGGCAAGACGCGTCTGAGCATAGTCACAGTCTTCACCAACTCCTATAGCATAGGTCGTCTCGGACCGACGGCGTTGACGTTTGACAGCTGACGTTGACGTTGACAGATGTTCCTTAATAGATACCCCGCAGCCGCGATCGTGATTCGTAATCTCGCTGAGTCAGATCAAAAGCAGCGCAAAGAGGTGAGGAAACCCGGAGGGGAATTCACTGGCTAACTAGTACATCTGAGCTAATTATATAGGTTTTTCTGTCCCTCACGACCGTCTCAGCCCCGCGCTACCGTGGCGCAGCCATAGCCTCCGTCTCCCTCATAGCCTTGCCTGTCGCTACCACAGCCCGGGCCGTTGTAACCACAGCCGCCACCTGTTTCCACCACAGCCTGCCGTTCCCATGGCTGGTGACCAAGTGCGTTGGTCAGCATGCGACACTCCTTGCGACCTTGCTGTGCGTGTTTCACCATGCGTTTCAGTGGTTGTTTCACCCACCCAGCGCGTCACCCGCTCTTCATCTGGAAAGATCACGATGGCTGACGCGAGGCAGTCTGGATCGTATCTAATGAGCAGCTGCTCGCCTGGGTGCAGAACCCCGTTCCGGTGTCCCAACTTGATTCCGTTCCGGCCCTAAAGTGCGCTGCGTCCAAGATCGATCCCGGAGCCAAGATCTGCAGCGGCATCCCCGGGAACGAGGCCGGCCTCCTCAGCCACTGCGAGTTCCCGGACTTCCCCTTCTACACCTGTTACGGCTGCCCGCAGATCATGCCCACGCCAGACAACCCAAATCCACCGCAACGTGTCCCTGATGGCCAGCCCGCCCGACAGCGAGGTATGCCCTTTCCAACTCCTGGTCATGCCCATTCCTGACGCATTCATTATATATTCAATAGTGCCCGCAAACTGTTCTACGCCCTTCTGGGACCCGATCGCGGGCAAATGCACCTGCTCCGCGGCGGACTGTCGGTTCAGCGACATCTCCCGCCCCATCGGTGTACGTCTACGCTGTCAATACATCTGCTTGCCCGTGCTGACGCCGCTATAGCCTAATGGCGCGAACCTTACCGGCGGTGGGGCAGGCGGCTCGCCCGGTACCGCTACGGGCTCTTCGCCGACACCGTCGTTTGTACCTTTCAACGGGAACAGCGGGAGCCGGAGTCTTCGTCCTGCTTTATGGGCGGCACCATTTGCGATCATGGTCCTAATCGGTGCAACCTATGGCGTATTCCAAGTTGTGTAAAGTTTCTTGGCAATGACTCGGAAAAGTTTCCGATAATCAGTGTTAGTCGTTAGTAGGACTAGCTCTTTGCTACTCCACAATAGACCTTCTACATTCAAAATGCTGGTGTCCGGACTTATCAGACCAGAGAAATAAACATGTTTGGTTACATTGGCAATGCATTGTATATTGGTGGGTCGGATATATCTGATAGTCGAGAAGATGGTATTGAAAACATTGGGTAAGTGTGAAAGTTCGTGTGATGAGCTTGCCAAGTGGTAGACTGGTAAGTAGCTTATGATTCATCTCGCCTAGAGATCCAGCGCGATAACTGCACTGCGGACATCCATCTCCGGGTCCAACAGCCCCACCGCTTTGAGCAGGGCCACCTGCTCCGTCCGCGGGAAGAGCATCTCTCGTGGGGGCATCGGCAGATAGTTCGCAGGGCGCAGATCCTCCATCGGAATGGCCCCCAGCGTTGGTCGGCGGAGACCAAAGAGGGGCTCGACGTATGGCATAGGGGTGGGTGTGACGAGGCCAGCGACGGTGCTGGCCACCTGTTTGGCAACGTCGACAGAGTTTCTCCGCAGTCGAGCCGGGCTCGGTGATGATGGTGAAGATGTGTCGGGAACAGACACCCGACGGCCGCCCAACGGCACGAACCCGTTGCGGGGAACGACAGCGCGGGTGGAGTATGAGGCAAACATATTGTGGTTGTTGTTAATGCGGTGTTTGGTTGTTTGCAATGCGGAAGTGGTGGTGGTTGCAGTTAAGAAGAGAGTCGAAAGTAGGACGGCTTTTATAGTATTTTGTTGGGAGGGGGCGGGATGTGGGGTAGATGTCTGAGACCGCTCCTTCGGCAGTCTGGTTTCGGGAACGCAATATGGCGATGCGATTGACAGAAGAATCCGCGAGACATTGAAGGCTATACAGCTCGAATATATCGTTTGCAACCATTTGTGCGACAATAGGATCATGATGACATGAGACCAACATGAGACAGAGGCGAGGAGCGTCTGCAGATATCAAGTTGACGAACCCGATGGGGGCAGTGACGAGATCTCCACAAATGTCTCGAAGACATACTTCTCAGTATATGACCAAGAGTGTTTCCTCCAGCTGCCGTACTGAAGGGAGACAAAGTTGCAGGTTTTTCTGCACTGTCATACATAGTGCGTTGAAAAAAGCTGGAGCCCATCAATGAGACGCATAGGAAAAGAATAGCTTTTGCGTCCCCATAGCGTGTCAAAGAAGCAACAGGCTCCTCGTTCCAAGTGGCACAGCCACCGACCCAATCCAGTCGAAATGAGTGAAGCTCGTGGGGAACTGGCCCAGAAGGGAGTGGTACGGGTCCCGATGTAGACGCTATTGAATGAAAAGGCGGTATCTGGAGCACAATTGCCCGCCCCGTTTGGTGAGGGTTCAAGAAGTGGACTGCGACTGTTATTACAGCGACATTTGAGGTTGGCACATTTTTGTCATGATAGTCGCAGGACATTGAGGGTGGACGAAAGAATGTATAAGACAAAGAAGAGCCCAACGAAGAGAGGGAGAAGGTCTTTGACGCTGGCAAGGGTTTGACCCAGGTGACAATACTTGAAAAGGTCGTCGACTTTGAATTGGTATCGAGTCACGACTCTTTCAGCCTTTTCCGACATGCAGGTTGGATGCGGGGCCATAGAGCAAGAGACGGCTAACTTGTTGAATGAAGCCCCAGGGGTGCAGTTATGTCCTGTTCTGTTTTTTTTTGTGGTTAGTTGACATAATGAAGACAAACGCGAAGCACGCACTGGTGAGCAAAACGCAGCAAGCGTGTAATGGTTCCAATTGAGTGACGTGAAGTAGGCCTTTATAAGTTTGCATCTGGCCGTGGAGAACTGGTCTAGCGGATGACTGGACCGCTTCCTCGATGAAGACGACGAAAACCGGGAGATTTCTCTGTGTGCATCTCAGGGATTCTTCTTCTACGATGTGGGACCAGCAACTCACCGAAGTCAAGTGCCCGGGTCCAAACTTCTCCTCCGTATCGCGTCTCCATCCAGCTCTGAGCTATCAGTGGCGGCCAGGCGAGCATCGCAAGTACACGCAAGACATGTATGATTGGCGCAGAAGGTGTAGAGGTTGAGTTCGAGTGAATCGAGTCCGAGCCGGGTGATGGGAGGAATGAAGACAACTTTCAGCTTGCTTCCAGATCGTGTCACAAAAATGCAAATGGAAAATCAGGAATTGGTCGCCGACTACTGTGGTAGTGCGACCGAGATAGATAGAGTGGCTCTGGAAATAGATTGATTGTGAGTTGAGACTCTATAATCGTTGAAAGGTGCTGCCCGCAAGAATATATATATCCACAGCGCAAATGAGTAGCAATGAGTAGTGTCTGCGAGGTCGTGATGCAAATACTGATGGCATGATCAGTGTCCATGTAAAGAAGGAATGCGGTAAGTAGTCAATAATATGGTAATGCATGCAAGTAAAAATGTCCGAGGTCCATGTCGAATCGTCCAGAAGTCCTGCAATAGCAACGCGCAAACAAGCAAAGCCCACCGTCCCCCGACCCATTACAGCCTTCCCACAACACCGAACGACCCGAACAGAGCACCGACAACACCCAGCACAGTCGCAGCCCATACACCATTCGGCAGCGCGAAACCTCGTCCATTAAATGGAACGAAGGATGGTGTCGGCGATGCATTGGCACCTGTAGAGCCGCCGGTTCCACCGCCAGTCAGGTTTGCCCCGTTTGGCCCAACCGGTCGCGAGTTGTCGGTAAATTGGCAGTCAGAGGAAGAGCAGAGACATTTCCCTGCAATCGGATCCCAAAACGCGGTCGAGCAGTTGGTGGGCACTGTTCAGCGATATGAGCATCATAGAGGGGAGCCGATAAGGCAAGACATACATCGGAATCGCGCTTGTTGACCATCAGGTACTTGTTGCGCTGGGTTTGGATTGTTTACAGTCGGTTCGGTCTCGGGACATCCGTAACACGTAAAGAAAGGGAAGTCGGGGAAGTTGCAGTGGCTGAGGAGCCCTGCCTCATTCGAGGGCATGCCGTTGCAAATCTTCTGACTCACATCTGGAGTGGAGCATTTGAGCGCCTCGAATGAGTCCAATTGCGATATGGGCACAGGATGTTGCATCCAGGCAAGAAGCTGCTCGTTCGAAACAATCCATACTATCAACCCACAAGTCAGCGTATTACATATTTGACTGTCTTCAGAATTGATTTACCATTTTGTTGTTCCTGGGCCCAGTCAAGGAACGAGTTGATCATGTTAATGGTCGAGTTGGGAGCCGGGACTCCAGGATAGGAGGTGGCGAGGTGGATGGGATGCGTATATAGTCCAAATGGCTGGCGGTTTCCGTTGTAATGTGCTGTAAAAGTTGCCTTCATGTACTCAAGGGTTGCGCTATCGTTGACTTTGGACTGGCCGTTTGCGGTGTCTCTATTCACTGAGTGAGTTTGTGGAACAAAGAGAAAGACGAGGTGAGTCAACTCACAACCAAGGATCCATAAGGTGGACACCGTTGGGACCACGCTCGTCAAAAAGAGCATACATGGGGAACTCCCAAAAGCCAGGTAACACGGGTTGTCCTTTGCAAGACCCTTGGACTTCAAGACAATCATTGGCCATGCCGTTGTCGAGAGTATAAGGCCAGAACGCGTCGGTTCCGGGATCCGTTACCGGGATCGAGGCGGCAGAGGACGAATCATATGTGAAGCCAGCTTTGGCGAGCAGTTTGAGTGTGTTGACCGAGTAATTTAGAAACGGAGCCCGGAATCCGACGATGTTCTTGAGCGGAATCCCAGCGAGGGCATTGAGCGCTATGAGATTACCGTCGACCTCATTCTCGGGCGGGTCTCCGACATGTGTCATTGTGTGGTCAGCAATTTCATTGCCTGCTACAAACCAGTCTGCAAACGCGCCTCAGAGAACGGAAATGGGTGATATATAACATACCAGTGACTAGCGTGTAGTTTGTGAAGTTGAGCGACACGTAGTAGGTCATTTTGGGAGCACAGCCGTTTGGGTTTTTGCGATGGGCAAGGAATTGGTTGACCGCGTCGAGAGTGTATGATTGAACAGCGTCGTCGGCGGTGAATATGACGAACATTGGTGTGTCGGCCTAGTAAATCGGGTCAATGGGTTCACTGAGGAAATAATAAACACTCACAGGGCTTATTCCACCAGGCGGGTTTGGGCTTGCACAATTGCAATTTGGGAGCTTGCATTTTGAAGCATCGCACGAGTAACCCGCGGCTGCTGAGCTGGATGTAGGCCCGCTAATAGACCCATCGTCTTGGGCAAGGCCGAAAGAGACATATAATAAGAGTATCCGGAGAACGTGAAGGAGAAGCATGTTGATTCTGGGCAACTTTTGAGAGGAATACGGGATTCCCTCCACTGAGTTGACGAAGGGAGAGAAAAGGGTGGGTGTGGAGCGGAAGAAAGGTGGCTGCTTGGTCAACAGCCGGAATGCGGCATGAGGCAGTGGCCGGGATCGTGGTATTTTTAGCGTGTTAGGCGGAAGCCAAATCGATTTTCTTCGCTGGTCTCTTCGGTACCACAAGGGTATCCTTCGACGGCAGGTTGTAGTATTCTGGGACGACCAAGTTCGGCGTTGACGATGTGGGAACACGAGGATGGAGGGTGAAATGAGAGGATGTACTGACGAAGTAATTTTAGAAACATCCTTCACTCACAGAAGATTTACTCACAGCGCTTATATCGGAGGCAATTAAGTATTGCCGCAGTTTTCTTATCGATGGGAATGCAGGGAGGGGCCAGGAACCTTCAAGCTCCTCCATAAGCCGGATTCGAGGATAGCCAGCTTGTTTAAACACTGCATGAGCTCTGTGAGCATGCCGTTCATATTGACGCGCGTTGCAGCTAGCTGGAAATAGTGGCCAGTTCTATTTTCAGCTCAGCTGTATAAAAGGGTAGTTGATAAACGGGTACCCACCTCACGAACCCGTCCTTCATTTCCGCCTAAGCGCCCCCACGCTTGAAGAATGCTTGAGAGGGAGGCCACCGAGATCAACACCTCCCAATATGCGAGTAACAATACATAGGCAAGGATTCCGCCGAGGATAGGCACAGGATGGATGACAGCCAAGTATTTTATCGTGTGTTCTCTACTATCTCGTTTAGCGGCTCATTCACAGTATAAGTAGCATTACCATGCATAATATAGTATCTCAGACTGAGAAGCGGCCCATGACTGCCATCTAGACCGTGAAACTCGTGTCGGTGTGGTCAGCTGCGGCCTTGGTTCGCCGGGATGGGAGGGTCCAAGATGCAATGAGAATGTCGAGAGTCGAGGATTACCCATGGGCGGGAAGAGCAGGCTTCTATGTCCTGGGCAAGTCGTTGTTGGATGGAAAGGAAGGGACAGGTTTCGTCAAGGTTTCGTCGGGCTGCCGACTTTTCGAGGCTTGGCGTTACGCTTGTCGTCACGACTCCACCCTTCTCTTCCTCTTCACTATGCTCCCGCAGGTCCTCCTTGCGCTCTTAGTCCCATTACTCGCCCTTGCCGACGAAGGCTCCATCTCAGGGCCCACAACCAGCGTCGAGGCAGCTGGGTACTCATGCGACCCAAACAAGTGCAAGCTCCCAAAATGCAATTGTGCCAGCGCAAAGCCACCTGGAGGGCTTGACCCCGTGCGTCTTCTCTATTCGTTTTTAAGAGAAAGAACGACGTTCTGACCTGCTCTCAGAAAGATGTTCCGATGTTCGTCGTCTTCACTGCCGATGACGCCGTCCAATCATACACCCTCGACGCGGTCAACCAGTTCCTTGCTCGCCGCAAAAACCCGAACGGCTGCCAGCCCAAGATGACTTACTATACCTCATTGAACTACACCAATTACACTCTCGTTACAGGTGTGTCGTCTTGGCGGTCCTGCTTGTGTCCACTCACTTTTGTTGTCAGACTGGTATGTCGCAGGAAACGAAATTGCGGACCACACTATGACCCATGTCGGCGACCCATCCAAGGAGGAGATTAACGGAAACCTAATGGCACTGAATGCGCTCGCCGGTATTCCCTATACTGCCATCACAGGGTTCCGTGCCCCATACCTCAATTACTCCGTTAATACCCTCAAAGCCCTTGCCGCGGCCGGTTTCACTTACGACTCATCCGCCTCTGCTTCGATTCCCGTCACAGACCCCAATACGGATGCCTATTGGCCATACACCCTCGATAACGGCATGGCGAACGACTGTCTCCAGGTGCAGGGCTCCTGCAAAGGACAACCCGTTCTTCCTGGCTTCTGGGAGATTCCCATGTACGCCTTCTTCGACAACAAGGGAGTCGCTGGCCCGCATTTGATGGACCCATGGCTCGACAATGCCAATGGCGCTACCAAACAAAACGATACGGCAACTCTCGAGTACATGAAGAACACCTTCACTGCCCATTATAACGGAAACCGGCAACCAATTGGGCTTTACACCCATCCAATCCACTTGAGCACGACTTATCCTGGTGTCCCTGCTCCGAATGGTACCATCAACATGATCAACTCGTTCTTGGATTGGGCTCAAACGCAACAGAATGGCAAGTGAACACTCCCGTTCTTTATGATTATTTTGCTGATCCGACTTCAGTTTGGATCGTCTCTTCACAGCAACTATTGGCTTGGGTCCAAAACCCGGTTCCCGTTTCGCAGCTTGATTCAGTCCAGGCGCTGAAGTGCTCGACGCCCAAGGTTGACGCGTCTACCAAAATCTGCAATGGCATACCAAGTAACGAAGCTGGCTTGCTCAGCCACTGCTCGTTCCCCGAATTCCCCTTCTATACCTGCTATGGATGCCCGCAAACGATACCGACTGTGGCCAACCCGAACCCGCCTCAACAAGTTCCCGACGGTCAACAGGCCCGCCAACGCAGTAAGTTGTTTTTGCTGTTCGTTTCTCGATTTTTGCTGATATACTTCTCAAGTTCCTGCCAACTGCTCAACACCATTCTGGGATCCGATTGGAGCGAAATGTCTCTGCTCATCCTCCGAGTGTCAATTTAATGACATTTCCCGACCGATTGGGGTATGCAGTCTATTTTCATTGCCACTCTGTTGCTCATTACGTGCTTCTTCAGCCCAATGGTGCCAATCTCACTGGTGGCGGAACCGGTGGCTCGCCTGGCCAAAGCTCCGCACCCACACAGTCCTACGTTCCCTTCAATGGCAAGGGCTACGCTCTCCCTCCTGGTGTATGGGCTGCATCAGTGGTCGGCATTCTTGGTGCTGTCGCTGGCGTCTATGGCGTTTTAGGTGCAGGCATGTAGACACTTGCAGGTTAGCCATGCAGTTACGTACGACTCCTCACGATAGACTACCCACGGACCTTTCCCTCTCCATATCGCAATCACTTTCGTCGCATCTAGTATTATCCAAATCTTGCAGTTTTATCTCCCACTCCGCGCCTGTCGTTTCCCTTTATTTTTTTGGATTACAGTATTCTTCCTTAGTAGTTGAGTGTGGACGGTCATTAGCATACTCTTTAATGGATGGGAGGCAGACTTGGCACGATCGCTGGTTGTTAACCACGCCTAACTTGGATTGCCATGACCGATGCTCAATTGCCAGGCCGTTCGCAATTGGCGCAAGAGTGCTCAAACCGAATACTTCATTATAACGCACGTTACAACTCCGAAATCCGAAGGGACCGAGTCGAGTAGCAATTAAAAAGTATAGGTTACGTCGATAAGACCTTCGCTGAGCGGAGCCAGTGTCTCGAAGGCCCCAGTGGTCAAATCAATGTTGTTCCCACTGCAAGCAGGACACTGCTCTGCGATGACGGCCGCAATGGTGTTCCCCGCATCTGCGAGGATGTTAGTCTAGGTGGCCTGAAACTGAGAAGAATACCAAGAAGCATTTAGCACTTCTTTGAAGGGACTCACGGGTAACGGTAATCTCGCTGCCACAGAGCGACATGTCGAACTGCGCGGATGGGAGCGCGACGACAAAGTCGCTGTCTTGAATAACCGTGCCACAACTGCCGACTTCGCCACCGGCGGAGAAAAAGGTCGCTGAAGGAGAATAAAAAACATGTCTAAGCGCACCGAGTTATGAGGAATCGAAGAAAGAACAAACCCTTGGCAGTGATTGGGGTGCCGCTTTCGCCGAGCGCGCCAACAACAAAAGCGGTGAGAGTGGCGAATAGGCTGCGGGTATAATGCATGTCGATCGTCGGAGGTCTTTTGGGAACTGTTTTTCCTGGTCAGTCCTTCTCGTTCTTATATGAATCGTGCGCGTTAACGTTACGGTTGTGAAAAAAATGTATACTAGTATATGCTGGCCGCGGCTAGTTGCCTACGTGGAGGATGATCAGTGAATGGAGGCTATTATGTAGCAGAACAAAACAAAACTTACAACAAGTTAACGGGTAGTCCAGACTCGATGAAACCTTGACGACGACGTTGCACATTCAATTCACATCCCGCCTATGTTCTTCTTTGTCGCAATATACTAGGACTCAATGCTGATCATCTGCCACTTGGCCTTCTCATGTGCTACTTGCGTGGATTGTCCGAGGTGCGATGTGTGAGTGAGTATATTTGAGCGAGGTTTGTCATTCGATGTATCGTTTACTCGTTTAAAACCGCCCTCCACGAGTGAGGATAGCTTCAGATCGAAACCCGTCGGGTTACCCGACGATGCGGCTGCGCCTCTATGGCACCATCAAACTTGGGGTTTCCCCAGTAGATTCCCCGCCCTCCATTTGGTCGAATCTCGAAAGCCCTGCCTGAGCACGAGCGGTCGGTCTACCACGTTGACGTTCTTGTCTTGCTTCTTCCTCCGATTGCCCCGGTACTGCTGCCATGACCCTGGCATCAATAGCAAAGCCATTTTCGGCATCGCGAGCCTGAGGAGAATTACGAGTACGAGTCCTTGAGGAGGAGCCGCCAGTGTAACTCTTCAATGATGTCACGATAAGCGCGAAGTAGAGGAGTCCAAGAAACAGCGCAGCCGTAATGAGGATGCGTTGGATCAGCGTGTGGGATGTGGTGGAGGTGTTTGATTCATTTTCCGAGGAGCTCGAGTTAGCTTCAGACTCGGACGAGGTCCGCCAGACAAAGGCCATTATTGCGATAATGAAAAATATCACAGACCTTTACTTCCGGTTAGTATATCCAGATTATTCGTAGGAAAGGAGACAGCCTTACCAAGCCAGGAAAGTGGCGGGCATAGCGAGCAGGGTCCAAACATTCCACCATATAAAAGTATAAGTTTTTCTAGCTTCCTAAAGCACGAATAAGAACCATTGGATACGAGTATAGAAGGTGACCTTGTACCTCTGCGAATTTAGAGGCACGATACATATTTCGCATGCTTGAGAAACGCACAATATACATGCAGCCGTAGCAGAGACTCATAAGGGCGCAGACGAGGCTGATCAGTGCAGCAGTCCGCGTGATTGAATCCGCAGCCGCTGGAGGGAGCTGTAAGAGCGCGAGGATTGCACTGGCCAGAAGCTGAGCATATTCCAGTCAAGAGACAAATTTTCACGAACGAGAGTAACAGGGCGGACACGACATTTAACGTCTTCCATTCCTTGATGAGAGAAGAAACAAAATCCTCCCATCTAGGGGTCATAAATGAGGTGCATAACAGACGAAAAGTAACCTACGAATGCTTGAATCGAATGAGTGCCGGTGATACCAGTGCTGGTGTCCAATCTTCTGGTAGAGGCAACCTCGGCTCCGCAATACTCGTGCGAGAGCCAGTGTTAGGATTGACGTTGAAGATATCTTCAAGTTCCGTTACTTGCGAGGCAGTGGCAGTACTGCGTGCCGAATCTACCATTCTCTGTATATCCGGACGGCTGACCTCTGCATCTTGGAAGATGCGGGCAACACGAGAGAAGTAGAGTGCGGGCATACGGAGGAGTAGGTGGAGGTAAATTTGACGAAGCAGAGTGTCGATAAGAAATGGTCGTTGCTGCGAGGTTGGTTTGTCTACCACGGAGGTTTTGACCTTTTCGGAGTCGAAATCAAAGCAGGAAGGGAGGTAAATTCCCCCGCTGGAGAACTTGAATGTGAAAGGGTTGATTGGTATGAATGGTTCCTCCGGGGTACGACGATGGAACCCGGCAGTGAGATTCTGAAAAATGCGTAGAGGTGAGGACGCTCGAGATCGGGGTTGAGATACCAGAGCCGAGTTGCGCCCAGCATCTGAGCTTTCTCGCGTAGTCTTTCCAGCTAGATATAATCAATTGTTTTTAGCTTCAAGTGCACAACGAAGATAGAATGGACACACCCTTTGGCCGTTCACTGTCAAACGAAACCCTTTGTCTCGGAGTATCATTGCCCTGCGAAGCATCCGACAATCCTCTTGCTATTGGTATCGTCCCCCAAACTTGGCTTATACGAGGGCCAGAATCATTGGTCGCAATTGATGGGAGAGAGTCGAGGCTCCTTCGGAATGTACGAGCGTTATATGAGCGCGGGGTGGTCTCGGCGACAGCAGGTGTGGGTAGCTCGGAGAGTTTGTCGGAAGAGGTGAGCTTGGACTTTGTCGATGAAGATTCAGAGGTCGTCGGAAAAGCCAGAGATGATGGCTGAGCCACATCTTCCTGATCGTTAGGAGTCATGATGAAGGGGCAGTTTGCTTAATACTCTTGCCGCGGCGGGTTTAAGAGCAAACACACATTGAGCCCAGTGGCAAAGTGCGAAGGCGTCCTCATTTGGGAACGTTGGCGGTTAAGGATCCTGGGTATACCAATGACGAAAGAGCTGGATTGTGAAGCCGTATTTACATCGTGTCATTGTCAACAGGATCCAAACGCGTCGAGTGTCGATGCTGAAGCTAAGTAGCCCTGAAGCCGAATAGTCACGAGACGTGTCACAGGATAGTCACGGTCACGCACCTTCCATCGCCTCGCGCTGGTTGTTTCGGGCAAGTCTGCAGCAGCCTCTCGCTTCTCTCCATAGTTCTTGATGGGTCCTTTAGCTCCAGACCTCACATTCGCCCCAGTCCTGTCCGCCTGCGGGCTCTCCACGGCTACATAGTAGGTGACATTGCTTTCGTCCTCCTGAATACCCTCACTCATAACTGTGCAGACTTTTGGCTGGTTGGTGAAACCTTAACTTATTGGCCAAGGTAAGCTACTTCGTGGCTTCTCGAGTCTCTGCTCACGCTGCTCTCCCAGATGCCTGCAAAATACTCGCATGTAAAAAAGCGCGCCGCTACCACCCCAGTCAAGAAGTCACCCAGCAAGAAAACGTTGCCCACACAGCAAGTGGAGCGCCCAATCCCTTTGTCTCCAGTTACCAAACTTGAGCGGGCTATAGCCAGGATCATCCTACTCCGCTATGAGCAGGACATTGCGAGGTTGTTCTCCACCCGGCTTTACAGTATCGCCCTCGTCCACCTCCCAACGTTTGTCATCCGCTGTGCAGCGCTGGGAGGTCCGGGCTGGGCTGCCTACAACGCAGACACAGACGAGATTAAAGACTTCTTTCGGGCGGCCATTGGTATGGATATGCGACAGGCTGGGGAAAGGGTAGCGACCAAGAGCGTTTTGTGGTCATACACTGCCTTTCGACACTTTGTGCGTTTATAACCGCTTTCTTACGGTCTGAATATTAACCCGTATCCCTCAGGCCATGTCCAATAATATCCACGTCTGCCAAAAGCGCGGTTTACATTCCAATCGACTGTTACCACATTACGACGCCGTCAAAAGCCACCTTGAATCGCTTGAAGCAATGCCCCCTCCCGCATTCGCGAAGCCGCCACATCTTGGGTCGCTCGAGGAAGGCGAAATTGCATTAGAACAAGCTTGCGAAGCGAAATATGCATCTATATGGGGACCGAAGAATGAATGGTGTCCCAAATTACGGCTGGGTTATGAAAAGCTCTCGCAAACCCTCTGGAGAGTGGCGCGGGAGTTTGACGTTCGTGGGTATGGCACCGTTTTACGGGACAAGTTAACGACGAAATGGTGCGACTGTGGATGCTCCACCGACCATTTGGGCGAGGTTTGCGAGAGAACTGTTAGAGAAGATGAGGAGGAAAATGGTGTTCGTTTGGGCAAACAGAGAGAATGGGACGGGCGCGGCAGTGGTGTTTTTGGCTGGGACACAGACGAGGAAGAGGATATTTGGGAAATATCACTGGATTTCGGTGGTCCCGAGTTTGGTTTGGAGCCCCTTCCGGAGAATGAAGATAACTTCGAAAACGATATGACGATTGGGGAACTGATGGAATGGCGTTTTGTCAAAGCCGAGCGAAAAAAGGAGGAGGTAAGCGGAAACTGTTCTCAGTGCTTAATGACATATGAAACAGGGCAACGTTGCCTTCCGCAAAGGCGACTACCTCTCTGCTGTCCAACACTACCAAGCTGCATATGACATTGAACCCGAGCTTCCTCATTATCAACTCAATCTTGCGGCGGCAAACTTGAAGCTTTCCAAGTATGTTTTCCTCAACGTGTTTCATATCTCTGTAACCTATTTTGAAGCTGGATCGCTGCAGAAGCGGCTTGCACCAAAGCGCTTAGTCAGCACCATAGCGTCAAAGGGTACTTTCGTCGGGCCAAGGCGCGGAAAATGCTAGGTCGGGATGAGGAGGCTATTCGCGGTATGTGGAGATATCTTTGTTCGTTTCCTGTCCACTTAACTTTTCTAGATCTTCGTGCAATATTGAAGTTGCAACCCACGAACGTGGATGCAATCCAAGAGCTGGTTTTGCTCCTTCCTCCTGCACCATCCGAGACATTATCGTCATCTACGTCGTCCATAAACCCATCCGGCGAACGATTAGGCATCGTCAAAACCAAAAAACCAAAACCTCTTCCATTTGCCCGAACTGGGTTGGATGACAGACGACTGAAGTTTGTTCACGTTCCAACACCAGCAGCCGACCCGAGTTTACTTGGGTCTTGTCCGCACCATACTCATGTTTGCGAACACGGTCACCACCATCATCATCATGGACATAGTCATAAGGAGAAGGACAAGGAGAAAGGGAAGAGTAGGGGGACAACACTGGCCGCAGCTGGTATTGGCAGCGCAAGTAAACGGGAAAAAGAACAAGCATTGGAAGCCGAGATGTTGAGGGTTCTCGAGGCAATGAAGGTCGACAACCTAACGCTGTCGATCGTCGCTCCAGGCTGGGATCGTTATGTGGTTCGCAGGGCGGATTAAGATTACAAGTTTTATGGACTGGACATGGAACTATGGAACGTACGAATTCATTCTTCCTCGTTTTTACTTACCTTCCTTTCGATATTCTTCTTAATATCTTTCCCCCCTCTTTTCCCCAATCTGCATTCACATAGAAGGTACTCTATTCAGACTATTATTGCTATTCACGCTCTTTCTCCGCCGTAATACGACCCCATGACTCGTTTCCACGTCCATCTCGTCCTGGGATCAGGGCGGCTCCCCGCTCAGACTGAAGCTTGTGCTTCGTTTCTTATCTGGATTGAAGTTATCCCAGGCTTCCCCACTATCTCTACTTATTCCCACCCCTCCCCTACTTGCTCACTTACCTCACAAGCTCAGCGAGTCCAAGAAGCTACATGGCGACCCAAGCAAACTCAGTCCCGCATCCAACGCTCATTCAAGTCCGCATCGAATGTTTTCCCATTGTCCTCGACTTGATATCCTTCTTAGGTTGACCCCTTTGTGTAAGCGGTTTCATGCGATTCTCAAAAGGGAAGTGGTGACGATATCTTCCAGACCTGCAGACCAACAGAAGGTAAGATTCTCTACTACCGCTGTTGTCACTGTTGCTGACAAGAACTCGACGCAGGGCTTGCATAATCGTTGGCAGTAGGCACCGCTTACTCTTCCTATTCGAGGTGGCTTATAGAGCGGCGCAGCCCAGACATCCCAGCCTTCGCTACAGTGAAACCGGGCGAGGTTACTTTGATTCATCCCGCTATTTCTTCTCACGGCTGACCACATCATAAAGGTCTTCAAGATCGAGTGTGTTGGTCAGTTACTTTTCGGAAGAATTCACACACCCATGATGACATGAACACAAGACTGGACCGGAGCGCAGATAGGAAACAACGATAGTGCGTCAGGGGGCTCCTTCACGGAGGCTAGTACTTATCAGCTTCAGCCAGCGACGACGTGAAAAATGTCGACCTGAGCAAAGTGCATAACCTCTCGGGACCCATTGCCGTTGAAGGCGCAGAACCAGGCGACTGCCTTGTGGTGGATATCCTGGATGTTACACCGTTTGAGAAGATGCCTTGGGGATATACGGTCAATGTTTTCGTGCAGCTCTATATGGGACATTCGGGCTGATGAAGAGCAGGGAATTTTTGAACTGACTAACGGAGGTGGCTTATTTGGTGCGGGCTATTTTCCGCTCAAAACAACCCGCCATAAACTGCTCATTAGCCCAGGAATTCAACAGCAAAGCGTGCAAGGCCATCTGGGACTTCCATGGTAGTTTTCCTCAAGGGTTTTCCGGTTAAATCTGACCACAGTGACTCAGGAATTTATGCGAGCTCGCGGCATATTCCCGGGGTCCGTTTTGCGGGGGTGTCGCATCCAGGCCTCATTGGAACCGCTCCTTCTGCTGAATTGCTTGCAAAGTGGAACGAACGAGAAGGCGCATTGATCGCAGAGCACCCAAATGCCGTTCCTGCCGTCGCATTTGCACCGAACCCAGTCGGAGCATATGTTGGCCAAGACGGGCTTGATGAAGGAATAAGACAGAAGATCGCAGAGGAAGGCGCAAGGACAATTCCCGGCCGGGAACACGGAGGAAACTGCGATGTAGGCCAGGAGGCGCCAACTTGAGTGCTATTGCTGATATATCGCAGATTAAGAATCTCTCAAGAGGCTCGCGATGTTACTTCCCCGTATTCATCCCTGGCGCTAACCTTTCCGTTGGCGATCTGCATTTCTCACAAGGCGATGTTAGTCGCCTGGATTTGCCCTCACTATGAAAATCGCTGATTTGCAACTTTTCATTTAGGGGGAGGTAGTCTACTCTCTATACGCGTGAGCTTTGGCTGACCCCCCAAGCTTTCCTTCTGTGGTGCGATTGAGATGGTTCGTTGGCTCTAGCGTTTCATAATCGGCACTGAACCAGCGCGATAGGCAGGAATAATCACCTTCAAATGCGGAATCATCAAAGGCGGCGTCGAGAAGTTTGCACTGAAGCAGCCTATATTCCTTGTTTGTGTCATCCTCATCCAGGCCAGCCACTCGATAACACGCTACAGCCATCACCCATCGACCCTCTCTACTCGCAGAAGGTTATCTTTGAGGGCATTAGTGTCGACTATCGTCGGTTATCGTGGTTGATTTGTCAAGTCGCGCCGCTGATTATGGTGCAGATGGAGACGGAAAGCAGTACAACATGGATGCGTAGGCGTCAACGGGCCGCAGTCTGCTTTCACTGACTGGGCTTTCAGGACAGTCGCATATAAGCAGGCGGCTCTCAATGCAATTGCATATCTCATGAAGGTGTGTTTTATTGTTAAAATGTTTGTTTTCGGGGATCTCATTGTCGAATAGGTCGGATATAGTATGTACCACATCGTCTCCCTCGCCGGATTTCATCATTGTTTTTTGCTTCAGCCCGCGAACAAGCATGTATGTCCCAGTTCAACTCATCGCATCCACATTGATATTGAGTACTTCAAACAGATCTTCTGCTATCCGCTGCACCCGTCGAAAGCCATGTCGGCGCTCTCGTCGTAAGCTTCCGCTATTCAATTATCACCGGAATTCGCTTGAATTGGATCTCCATTGTGGCAGGACTCTCCCAATGCATGCGTCACGCTTGCTATTCCAACGGGCATCTTCGAACACGTATGTCGTCTACTTATTACTGAACCGCACTTCAGCAAATGTTACAGGACATCCTGCCTAAACCAGAAGGGCTCACCAAACAGGTCAGTCAGCGTTGTACTGATCATTCTTTCCTCCTTGCTCAGAGATGCACTTCAGGACTTCGGGCAATGCGCTATTAGAAGCGATGGAATTGTATAATAACGAGAACCATCAATCCTGGGTAGTTCAAACTGAAGTTGTACATCTATACTTTGTCCACACTCGCGGTCAATATCGTTCCAACGGTTCAGAAATATAGTGTGTGTTGGTTTCGAATATATAACGGAGTGGGCAGCAGACTGAAAACAAAATCGTATGAAGAGCTCGACGGTGGAACTTAGCACAGTAAAAAATAAAATAAAACAACCAGCAGCAACAAGGAAAACTACGACACCTGTGCGATTCGAACGCACGCGTGCAAAGCACACAGGCTTAGCAGGCCTGCCCGTTAACCACTCCGGCAAAGTGTCGGTTGTGCAACATGGCTTAGACACTGTCCATATCAGCGGGGCACCGGTGTAAATCCCTCTCCCAAACCCATAGCAATAGATGCTCACACACACATACACACACGTAGTGCTCCATTAACTATGACTGGATTCAAAGAGTAGTTAGGAAGGTGTCTGAAACTGGTGCAGGGCTGTGTGGCAAGAAAAACAAGTAGCAGGTCAGGCTGGATTAGCAGCTTTCAAGTTTAGCAGTGCTGTCTACAAAGCATATGATGCCATGAAGCAGCCACTTACAAAGCTAGGACACACTTACATCACTGTCACTGTCACTATCCATGACCCTCAAACAAACTGGTGTTTCGATGGGGGAGGTAATTAAGTGATGCCAGGGCTACTAGAGGAGCAGGTTTGTCCTGTCAAAGCCAAAATAGAGGCTAGATGGTTGACTGACCATATCCCTTAGTCATGTCAATAATACTGAACATTAATAGCTTATTTTACCACAATCTTGTAGGCCTACTATATATTGCTTAGAAAAAGATAGGTGGTAGCCCAAAAATCAGAGAAACATTAGGTCCAAAGATGTGATAAATATGGACCAAATATGAGATTTTATTCATAGGATTAAAAGGATTGTATATATAGCTCTCATTCATACCACCTTTGGAAAACTACACATACTTATTTATAATTTATAAAAGACATAACAGCAGATGACGAGCTGCTTGAGTCAATTCGTAGCGGCTATGCACTTGACAAATGGACGATGAAGCTGCCACCACTGCTAGGCTCACTGCTGGGGTTGCGAACAGACAACGGTCTGTGGTTCATAAATGAACACTTGGTGATCCCTCGTGCTCACAACCTGTATGCGGTTTTCTTTCAGATAGCACATGATGTATTGGGCCACTTTGGGTTCAATAAATCCTATGCGTCATTGTGTGATAGTTACTATTGGCCCAATATGCGGAAGGAACCTGAATCTTGCTACATCCCTGCGTTCCCAGATTGCCAGCACAACAAATCGAGCACTAGATGCAAACCGGGCCTACTACACCCGCTGCCTATTCCAGATGACAGGTGTGATTCTGTGGCAATAGACTTTGTAGGTCCACTACCAGAGGATGATGGCTACAACTGCCTGGCAACGTTGACCAATCACCTCAGTTCAGATGTACAGTTGCTTCTGACTCGGACAGACATTTCTGCGGAGGATTTTGCACTCTTGTTCTTTGACAGGTGGTACTGTGAGAACGGCCTTCCACTGGAGTTGGTCACGGACCAGGACAAACTCTTTGTATCGAAGTTCTGGAAGGCCCTTCACAAGCTGACGGGAGTGAAACTGAAGATGTCTACAGCGTATCACCCTCAGACAGATGGTGCAAGTGAACAAATGAACAAGACAGTGATATAGTGCATTTATTACCATGTCAGTGCAAATCAACGGGGTTGGGTCCATGTGCTGCCACGGATCAGGTTTGCGATTATGAACACGGTGAACACTTCAACGGGCTATTTGGATTTCCAGCTGTGCTATGGGCGTGCACCGAGAATCATGCCTCCAATCGTGAATCATGGGGACAGATCCTTGGTGGCAGAATTTGTTAATGCCCAAGCAATCATTGACAAGCTAGATAACAATATCGCGGAAGCGCGCGATAACATGATTGCAGCTAAGGCAACATAGGCGGAACCAGCAAATAAAACATGTAAACCAAACCCACCTTTCAAAATTGGTGACCATGTTGTGCTGAGCACGGGTAAAAGGCGGAAGCATTACCTGAAACTAGGGAAAGGCCAAGTGGCTAAGTTCCTGGTTTGGAGCGATGGTGTCATGGATAAGACCCAGCCCGTCCACTCCGGCGCTGGTGTTGGGCCATCGTGGGCCCGTAACACGCAGCACGTGATGACGGGGAACATGCGCCCCAGTAGGAGGAATGCACATGTGGGAAGCACGTGACCGAGAACGATGCGTCGAGCCGTTGTCAAGCCCAACTCGACACCAGGGGACGGGGAGGAGTGCTAGGAGGTTAGGGGTAGCGCCTGGCCCACAAGGGATGTATGATCGTCCCCTCTGCGTCCAGGAACGAGGGCAAGGAGGAGCAGGAAAGGCCAAAGTGTCTAATCACCCCTTTGCGGGCCCGCATATATAATGCGCAATAGCGTACCATGTACTCTATCGCTTAGATCGTCTGAAGAACTACCTTTCTCCGTGCAAGGAGGTGCCAACAACTCATCGGGCCCGACACGACCCGATTCGAACCTTCAACCACCGACAGCGTGACGGAGGGACCAAGTTAACGGGCCCTTTTGGTTTCAATCTACCCCACTCGCCGTACTCGTGGGCCCGACGATCTGTCTGTTCTGTTCCGGGCACGCGTTCTTAGGAGGAGTCCTTGCACGGCCCGACCCGCAGTCTGACAGATGGCCTTTCAAGATCGTCTCCATACATGACAAGGCATTAATGGTTACCTTGAACATGAAAGGGCATGAGAATTTGTATCTAGTTTTCCACATGTCGGAAGTTAAGCTGTTTGTGGAGAATGCTAATGAAATGTTTCCTGGCAGGGCATTGGACCATCCTCCACCTGTCCTAACCCTGGACGGAGGAGAGGAATTTTTGGTTGAATGAATTGTGGATGAGCGTAAACACCGGAACAGGAGACAGTTCAAGGTACGGTGGTATGGCGATGGCCATGAGGATGATGAATGGGTTGATGAGTCTGAAGTCGAGGACTTAGAGCATCTCAATGCTTGGGAGGCTGGCCTCAGCCAAGACAGTATCACAGAGCATAGTCTGGCAGAAGAACAGTCAGTGCTAACAGCAGTCATGCCAGCACCCGACAGCACAGAATCCTCGGATATCCAAACTCACTTGCGAAGACGAGATTCGCAGGGTAGGGTTGTCATGTTTGCCACGTAACCCAGATCTACTGGTATGTGAAGCGCTTGCAGTTAACATTAGTTGGGAGGGTAGTTTTTTCTCTGAGAAGGGGAGGGTGTAAACCTGGCCTTATGCCAGTTTCACAGGTAGTCACGGTCACTTCTTTTCTTTCTTCTTTCTACATCATCTGTACATATTCATAGTTGGAATCCCCCTCACACAAGGGTCTTTGTAGAATGGTGTGCTAAACAGTGTTGATACACTGCTGGCTACATGCTATGACTGCTGACCCATTTCATTCAATTAGGCCGGTCACGGTCACATCTGATTTTTTGGCTGAAATATTTCAGCAGGTCACAGGTCACAGCCAAATTATTTGGTCCCAAAGTGTCCCAATTAGGAAGATTTTCAAATTTTCCATGCCTGTGGTGTGCCGAATTTCCTAATCAGGTAAGAGGCCATGCAAAATTTGGCCTGCGGCCAAATAGTTACAGGCCACAGGCCCGCTGAATTGATTGAAATGGGTCAGTAGTACTCTGTTGCTAGCTAGCTTTCATATCAGTACATTGACTATTATTAATAAGTACTATACTTACTCCTATCACAGTACACATAATAATTACAATTTTTTTTTTTTTTTTTTTTTTTGAATATTAGGTGCTAAACAAGTGGGCCTAAATTAGGGCCCTAAGCCTATATAGGCCCTATATCATCCAAAAGGTTCATTTAGGGCCCCGAATTATAAGAACATCACTGATTCCGGGACAGGAGTTTCAATAAACTATGACATAACATGACAAACCCTAGTTGATATCCCAAACAGCAGAGTGATTGTGACATACAGAAAGTTTCCGACTATATACTTACTATATCCAAAATCATCCTTCAAGAAGAGTTGGAAGTAGTATTCCACAAATCCTCTTTTCACTATTTTTCTATATCCTGTCAATTCCCACTACAGTAAAATTTGAATAATTCATGGTAGGCAAGAATCTCAGCACAGGTCTGAGTCCTGTTTGGCCAGAATAAGTAATATCGTTACCGTTTGGAATGTTTGGGCAATGAGAAATGGACATGGAGGGGCCTCAATTACTGGAAGGAACACACTAGAAAAACAACCCGTCAAATGCGAAGGCAAGGCCAGTGAGTAAGACATGCCCAGGAAGTGGTGGCATTACATGCACTATTGAGAGCAGAAGCAAATATACTAGCTAGTCCTACTATATTGAGTTTTCACGTTGTCCTCAATTATCTCTGAGTTCGATATGTGCCAATTGCGGCCTCCTCCCGACCAAGGTACTCTCTCTGAAGGGCATCTAATCCTCGGAAAGTCGTCTCCCCACACAGCTCCCGCACGATCGCAGCTATGTCGTCGAGAACCTTGGGAAATTTTCAGTGTCTGAAGGCATAAATGACAGCCGACATACCGTAAGAATGCTTCCTAGAGCAATAACAGCTGTATATTCCCGTCAGTACAGGGATCAAGTGAGTAGACACCATCCATACCAGTAGAATGTGTTGGCAGTTGTTCATCCTGACCGAAATAAACATGCATATAGGTACAAATCACACAATAGGGCTCACCATCAACACGCTCAGCGAAAGCTCCTTGAAACCGATACTGGCGCCGTCGACCTTGCCGCCCTTGAGCTCAGTCGCATGCGAATCGACATCCTCCTCGCCATCCGATGCATCATCGAGACTGGGAGCTGCAGATTGTTGGGGCATCGATAGTGCAGGCTCGCCGAGGGCCGCGTTGTTCAGTGCGCGGATGAGCGTTTCGTGGTACAAAAGTCGATCTCGGAGCAGAGGAAGCGAAGCAGGAATCGGTCGTCCGGCTATAAGGGAATGCGACAAGATGTCGATGGTGGAGAAAATGTCCGAAAGCTATTCCAAGCCTCGGTCAAACTTATAATACCATACATAAACCCCATACGAGATTCGGATTCAAGAACGGTGTCTGCGTAGTGAGGTTTAAATCCAAGCATGCAATAGAATGAAAATATACTGACACGTTCGACCAGAATGCTACACCACGTAGGGTCCAGTTTGGAGAATGCGCCCGTCAAAAGTGCCAAACAAGTTGCCAATCTCAATCTGGATAACCATGTCAATTTGAAGTGCAGTAGAGGCATCTGACAACGGATACTCTTTTTGATGAAGCGCCGCATACTGGTCATGAGGCCAAAGTCCCCTAAGGCTCGGCATAAGAGGCATTCGACGACACGGACGAATAAGAACCCACTGTACTTGTGGCTCCCATCGGGCAGTTACCAAGGACGGCGCCAATCCTTGCAATCGCTCCTATAACATCATTAGTAGTCAACTCCAGAGCGGATACATGGATATGTAACATACAATTAAAATCAATATTCGCTGGGAAACCCGTCGAATTCGGCGCTCCTTTGGAGACACCTTATCTCGCGGCGTCATATCCAAATGGTCGATCTCCTCCTTCTCTAAATGGCCCGCTCGAGCACGGGTTTCTTCGGCAAGAAAATCCTCCACCTGCTGCCCAAAGAGGAACCCAATCTCGTGCAGGGACGCAGCAACCGTCCGCCGAACTAGTGTTCTGCTCGAAGTTGGACGCGGGAAAAGCATGATGATACCCTAAGGACGATTAACTTGAGAGCAATGAGCAAAAGATTGACGGACTGCGCCAGTAAATCCAATCATAACCAGCAGCCTAAAAAAACATGACACTTTCAGTTTGGAGGGCTACAGGACACCACACTCACGCTCTTCGCCATCCAAGACTTATTCCGACCCCTTGGTTACCAATGACGACGAGGTGGGTGTCGAGCCACGAGTAGCCAACGACGAAGACACCGGTGATACCAATCATGGACCAGAGTAGCATCTGCGTTGGTGGCGCCGATATCCTAGCGACCAGAAATGGAGCAACGAAAACGGTCTGGAGAATGAAAAAATGAGATAGTATTAGATAGAAAAAGAAAAATCCATGTACCGTAACGACAACAACAGCATACGGGTTACCGCTTGTGTGAAGGCCTGGTGCCGCAATATACCACATAACCATTCCGAGCAGCAATCCCAAGCCTGTTCCCACGAGCCTGGTTGCAACACCGAAGAGCTGGTCGCCAGCATAGGTTGCCAGTCCCATTTGGCCCATAATCAACGCCCACAGCCCCTTGTTGGAGTAGTAGAACCAAGCTGAGTGTGGAACAACTGAAGGAACCCAGAATGCAAGCGACAAGAATGCATGGCGAAGGGCAAAAATGCCCTCGTCCGATTTGAAGAATCGAAGGCCACTGCCTATGCGCACGCTCAGTCTGCCCAGAGTGGAAGTAGGCTCGCGGGCATCTGGATTTTTCGCTGTAATGTGTTGTGAGAAAGATGATATAGCTGAGATGATAAACGCATACGACGGGCCGGTGTCAATTCTCGCTCTTCTTCTTCTCGTTCTTCGAAAGCTGTTTCGGATATGTCCTCTGTGCTAGATTCTGCTTCGTGAATTTCAGCATCATCATACACCGCTGGGTCACGATGAATGCCCATCGCAAGCGGCGAGCTATCTAGCGGGGCAGGAGCTCGGCTTGTCATCTTTCTCCAAAGTTTGCCGAAGCCACTGGGAAGCCATAGTCGGGGATGAGGGCGACGAGAATCAAGGTCCGTTGCGAGAGCAAGGAGAGAAAGTAGACGAGCCCCGAAGGCGTCTACCGTATCGCAAAAGACGAAACATATGAAGAGTGATCTTACATATTGATGAGCACCATATATGTAAGTATCAAGTAAGAGGCCAGACTCACCGAACAGCAAACATCCCATTTCCTGAACCAGACACCAGCTCCTGCTTGAGTTTCCCTGTCCCCGGATCGAAGAACCGCTCGTATGGCTTGATCAACCCAATCCGCCCCTCCTTTCGCCACTGTTCGAGTCGGTCTTTGAGCTCCGCAGTAACATTGACCAACGCTGAATGGCTCTTTTCGATATCCGTCTTGCTTCTTTTGCGAACTAGACTTGTCCACCGCCCGGAATTACACTCGTCGAACCAGACCCGAAGTGCTTTCATGCTCTTCTCGCATGTCGTTCGCAACGGTAAGGATGCTTCAGCGAGAATGGGGACCAGGTCGTCCAACGCATGCCCATGTGCAAGTTCTCGCTGAGCCAAAACCCGTCTCCGCCTTGCGAACCGCGTTTCATGCGTTGACAGCTTGGGGGTGCTGCTTGTAGATGGAATATTGCGCTCCTTCTCTATCGCGGCAGCGCGATCAGCATCCTTCCTGTCGTCTTCATGGATAGCCGACACAGCTGTTTGAAAGGCCACAAGAGCGCTAGAATAATTCAGTGGTTGTTCTTAGACAACGGGATAACATACGCAACGCGGAAACCTAGCGCTCGAATCTCTGGTGCAATACGCTTCAAATCGCCGGGCCCAAGTCTTCCCATGCTTATTTCGAGATCGATAAGCCCAATCTGGGCTCCAAGCGCCGCTAAACCTCCCGACAAACCCGCCCTAGCTGCGGAACTCTGGAATGGCTTGTTTTTAGCAACATATGCTTCGGCTTATGAAAAATTGACCTTTGCTGCACCAGCAGCCCATTGAGCTGTATCTGACGGACGAGAATGGAGGGCGGCTGATTGGAGAGAGAGAAGTGAAGAGGCAGGCTGTGGGAGCCATAAGTAAAGATCTTGTGCTTGGAATGGAAACATTCCCCGAAGAAGGCCGTATCGACTGTGGTCCTATTCGAAGTCAGTTTGTGGCTTCTCGGTAGAAAAAACACATACAGCCAGACGTGGTTGAGGCTTTCGGGGAAGATGAGGACAAGGGAGGTGATTGCGATGGCGAGATAGTAGGCGGTCGGGATAAGGAACATCTTGGCAATTAAGTAGTTTTGCGAGGGCAACACTGTAGAAGGTAAGATGGTATTAGGAGCAGAACAAAATAGATGACACACGAGGTCCAATGGTGCAAACTGCGTCGAGAACGATGGTCCCGAATATTCCGGTAAGCATGAGACGAGGCACTCTAGCACGGACGACGCCGAAGAAGAAAGTTCCGATAAAGAAAAACGCGCCATAAACCGCTGAAGAACGTGGGTCGAGGAAATATCCATGGAAGATTTGTTCTTGCAACTTTAAAAGAAAGGTGAGTAGTGAGCACAAGAGGTGACCGTAGTCACGTACCTGAAGCTGCGATTGAGCTGCTGTTAGGTTTGCTGCCGCGCCAGCCTGGCGTAGTAGTCCCACCCTCTGTGCCAACAACGCCTTATCCTGAACATGTAGCGCTGAGACCATTGCTGCCACGCCCCACGCCCACCCAAGCAGCATCCCCACCACGAGCGTCAAGCTTGCGAAGATAAACAGACTCAACGCCAGCGAAGGCGGAAGGAGGATGCCCACAATCATTGAAAAGAAGCCGGCTTGGCCCATCGACTGGAGGGTAGCATTATCAACGATAAGAACGACGGTAGCGGCGAGAACGAGGATACATCTTGTCCATGTTTTGAGAGTCCGCCGCGTGCTGAGTGCGGGTCTCAGCCACGCGAAGAAGCTCGAATATGGGTTGGATGTCTTGTTCGTGCCACCAGCAGCGATTTCTTCTTGTGGAGGAGTGGCAGGGGCCCCCTCCTTTTCGTGGGAGCTGCCGCTCATGTGGTGGTACAAAAAAAGAGGTGGAGGAAGGGAAGGAAAAGATGGTGATGTCACGTGTGGCTGGGGAAGACTCAAGAGGTTTGGAGACAAAATTCCCAGGCAGCAGGTTGCCTTTGAGAGCCACGGATAAGAGAGGGTTGTTCGGCTTGAAGGAGTGTTCTGCTTGAGCACACAGGGATATCGCTGTTTATGCATGCAGGATCAGCCCCGACGATATCAGCTTAGTCGTACAACATTACGCGTTAATTAAATTGCCCCCGGCGCTCATTTCCTGATTCTGTCGTGATGAACCCTCCGACGTTCCCGTGCCCGACCGCCCAGGGCTCTCCGACTCGTAAATAGACCACTGACAGTGATGACGTTGCGAAATACCGCCTCCAACCTCTAACGGTGCCTCCAAACTTGAATCACCCGTCCTCAGGTCTGGCGTCGAGTTGTGGCGCTGACGATGGGCTCTTCGACCCGCTTCAGCGGCAAAGTGGATCCCTTCCAACTCGGTACTGTCGAGGCCCTCTGTCCGCGCGCCAACGGGGGCCATTTCTTGCATGTTTAGGATAAGGCGACATATTAGTACGATGGACAAGCTAGGTTGGAGACGTCAATTGGCATGGAATGGGAGGATGGATTGGCACATACGATGTAGTCCACCAAGATAGTAACCCGGCGATAATGATCTGGGTGGATGGAAGGTTAGCTAGAAACAAAGCTGAGGTTTTAAAGTCTACGAACATCGCCCAACTGAGAAACGAGTAAGTAAGCTGGTCGATACAAGCGGAAATGGACTCACAAAACACGTCAACACGTTCGCCAGGTTCGCGAGGACGATTATGCTTTCATGAATTAGCCACACTGGACACATTCACACATGCACAAACATACCCAAAGTACAATGCTCCTTGAGACAAATTCAGCGGCGTCAGGGTAAGGCTTCAACGACACATGTAACATACCATCTCGTGCCATACGCTCAATAAGAGAGCTCGGAAGAGCGGTCATCACAGCCTGCTCCTGGTAGGCGCGATAGACAGTCAGACCGAACACCATGGTATCCGAAACCATTTGTGCGATCCAAGTTCCTCCTAAACGGAGGCCTCTACAGGTAAATTGAGCATGACGGAGTTCAAGCAAAGTAAACTTTGAACATGCGTTTTATGCGGAATCGCCGTATGACATCCCACCATTCCCGGAGCATCTAACATTCGGGGTCGTCCATATGTGGCTATAGTCCACTGAGATGATGATAAGTTATTGAAAAGAAACGAGAATGCGAGTGCGTACTATCCCAAGACCGAGATTAAGATTTGCGACAACCCAGATAGGCCCGAGGAGCCATAAAGAACGGCCATACATTGCGAAAACTCGAAGAAAAAGGGTCGCTGTGAACGGATTCAAGGGGGGGAATGTGAGGCACTTGAAGGGAAGTACTCACCTTGAACCAGACACTCTTGCAGAACCAACAGGGCTTCAAGCACATTCTCCATTATTTCGCAGCTATTGCATCATGAGCGTTGCTCCGACCAGGAAATCATCAGTCAGACCTCTGCCGCACCCAACTCAGCACTGGAAGCATTTCACGAGGACCACGCACCCTTTCGTTTAGCCGCCCGAAGTAGAACACGAGGATAACACCGCTGGACACGAGAGCGGTGTACCTTACAAGCAGGTACCACCACGTGCTCGGCTTCAAGTTCCTCCCCCAGACCAGCTTGACTTCCTCAGGGAACACCAGGAGGTGGTCGTAGACCAGCAGCACTAAATGCCATCGATAATCCAGCAACAGGCTTGGCCCGGAAGACGCACCGAGACCAGCTAGAAACAAGTTGCGGTACATCCGGCTGCAAATCGCACATGAGCACAGCACGTTTTCCGGCAGGAAAGAAAGAAGACGCGACGACGCAACTGGTCCCACACAAATGTTTCGTAGTCGAGTCCGCCGAGGTCGTAGTGGTCCGCCATGTCCCAGACCGAGGGTCAAGAGGACGGAAAGCATACCGCGAAAATCCATTCCCACCACCGCGATACGATATATACCCATGCCAGAAGACAGCAGAAGCGGCCGCGGGCGGAAAGACGGAGAAATGAAATGACATCACCCCAGATGGCACTTGGCATGCTTCGAATGTATCCCACACCAAACATGCAGCATTCGTGCATGCAACAAACCTCCAATGCCGCAAAAAATCCACGAATATCCTTGGATTATGGTTTTAGTCTGCAGGGCTGAACGAAAAACATGCATACCTGGAGGCCTGGCGCTTACATTGAAGAATCAGTCACCCTGAAATGCTTATTTCGCGCCTAGAGTGTCCCGTCCTAGTAAGCGAATTAATTTTTTGAAGGACGTGATGAATGAAATTACCGCTTCAAGTTATGGCTATGACGTAACTAGTGTAATACCGGCATTCGTTGATTCATGAAAAAAGAGTGCACCTTTTGGGTAGAAGCAAAAAATGAAAGCTGTTCTCGATAGCCCCGAATCCGGCGAGAATATAGTGTGCGAAATGCAGCATGCGTCGGGTTGAACTCTGCAGCCTGTATAGCTCTTTAAATTTAGTATTACGTGCATAAATTAAAAACTCGGATAGCGATATTGAAAAAAATGATACATACCGGAATTGTCCATTCTCTCCATTCCGAGTTTCCCTGGTCCTGTTGACCCTGCATACGAAGCGATACTAGATAGTGGGGTGGTGGTGACGCACGAACGTGAGGAATTGAATTTTGAGTCCATCGCATGATTCGCATCTCCTCCCCGCTCCGATAAATAAGATGCGTTGCGTGCACCCTGTCAGATAGGCGCTTCTCGGCCGTCCATGGACACAACACGCCCGGGCCGGGCCGAAAGTGGGAATCATTACCTCGTCATCGCAGCTGAGTGAGCATTGCACATCCCGTCGGAACTGAGCATCTTTTAGAACGGCTTCCACAGCTCAATCTGTTGGCCAAAACGTTGAGCATGCACCTCGAAAGCCTGTCAGAGCCGGATTTTACTGAAAAATAGATGCAAGCTGCACCTCGTATCATCAGTAGGAGTCAAGACAGATATCGATGAGGAAGCCAAGTAGAGGTGTACACGCCGCGCATTTGCTATACAGACAGTTCAAATGAGTCGTCAACTCCATCGATGATTTGTCGAAGAAGTTGTGAGAAGTTGGGCTCCGGAGACGGTTGAGCAATGAGCAGGGTCTTTTACGGTTGACGAGTCTGGATTTGGAATGACTTGATGCGTTAGTTAGAAGTTCTTGCAGTGGAACACTAGAAGACCGCTTCACTGCGGCTTCAGGATGTTGAAATTCCGAGGTGATCCGATGGGATCAAAGTGAGCGAGGAATCTGTTTGCAATCACACTCCGGTTAGGAATCTGTGCGTTAGGGCAAACGATGCCCTACGCTGACTATCTATTCTGTTTTATATACTAGTTATACATTCTTCTAGTATATTCTAAGGGAATCAGGAAAATATCAGTCAGCATAAGGTGGAAAGTGCCAGAACATTCCGGCGAGTCACACTGAGACCATCAAAACTTCAACACTCCCCCATGACGAGCCGCTCCCCCATTCCGTCTGTGCTCCCCCATCAACTGATTGCCGTCCATAGATACCTCTGGCATCATGTAGTACACCAAGTTACGCAGCCCTTTGGCAGTTCGTCGCCGGCTCGCGCGCCTCATCCGCAAGTGTCAGCACACTCGGATTGCCGAGGCCTACATGTCCAGATCGTCACGGTCAAAGTACTGTTTGGGTTTTGGACATGGGTGCCGTCGGGAGTAAATATCCAGGGTGGGAAGGTAGGAATTTGTTGATTAGAAATGGATATAGGGTAGGTGGGGGGTATAGTCGATGAAGGAAGGGGTGCATCCAATTTCATCATTGAGCGTCGTCGTCGGTCCGCGGTGCAAGCAGCAATAGGTGCGGGGAGGACGGCTGAGGTGCCGACAGGCCGCGTGAATGCCGCATAAGCAGCGGGCAGCAATGGCGCTCGCTCCGATTGTGAGCGGGTAGCCAGTGGGACAGAGAGCAGGTCCCAGGGGTGTTGATCCGGCTGAGTTGAGGGCCGGGTCAGAGGCGCAATGAGCAGCGCGTCGGATAGCGCAGCCATGGCGGGAGATCGGCGATGCTCCGGTGGCGAGCGGAAGGCCGAAGGTGGGACAGCGGTTGCCAAGTCCCGGAGTAAGGTGGTGCAGTGAGCGAGAAGAATCCAGCACGCCGGCGGCGTCAATGCCGACAGTTCGATCGCATCAGAGCGATGGGGGTGGAGTGGTTGCCAGCCTGAGAACACAAGAGTGGCGGCAGCCAGTTGCGAGAGGCAGAGGGCGGCGGCCTCAAGCGGGGAACGGGCTCGGCGCGGCGTCGATGAATCCGAGACGTCGTGGGAGCGCGTGGGAACGCCAAGCGAAGAAGCGCGGAGGTGACGTGAGCTTCGGCGCGTGGAGCCGATGGGCAGTGGCCAAGGGATGGCGGTCGACGGTGAGGTCGGACAGTGGCCAATCGCATACGCGGGCGAGGCGCGATGCTGGGCGGGTTAACGGTGCCGTGTACCGTGATCGTTTGTGTTGAAATTCCGAGGTGATCCGATGGGATCAAAGTGAGCGAGGAATCTGTTTGCAATCACACTCCGGTTAGGAATCTGTGCGTTAGGGCAAACGATGCCCTACGCTGACTATCTATTCTGTTTTATATACTAGTTATACATTCTTCTAGTATATTCTAAGGGAATCAGGAAAATATCAGTCAGCATAAGGTGGAAAGTGCCAGAACATTCCGGCGAGTCACACTGAGACCATCAAAACTTCAACACAGGATACTCGTAAGGGTGGCTTAAAAATCGCTTACTTGGACCCCAATGTTCAAATTCTTCGCCAGGAGCAATTGTCTGTCGCTGTCGCTTCTCGTGAAAAGGACTAAATCCTTATGGTGTTAATGACTTCGTCGATCCACGCGCGTTGCCACTGCCTGCCACTGCAGCCTACGTGTCAGTGGTCATTGCAAAAACGTTGAATGCTATAGCACCACCTAAATGGCAGCGTCAATCCCGCCACCATGTGTTTGAAGAGGGATTGATTGTTTCTTGCTAGCTGGCGGTGTGTCAGTCGCTGCGGCGTTCTCGTTCTTGTTCGTTGATGGTCTTCCATCTCAAATGTGACCGTGTGACATCCGTGATGGGTGACTGCGTGACCTCCAGCTTCATCATCTTCATCATCCTCCCAAGCAACGACGACTATAGCAGTTGAAGTTGAAGCGCACGGACGCCGATGATTGGCATAGGGAACAACCACCTGCTTGTCTGGTTCCCCGCAATTTTGTGTGTGAATCTCCGCCATTGACTTCATCACCATCGCCGCACAGCCCGTGTCGACTGTGAAGTGTATAAGTGTGCCTGGTCTGGTGCGTTAATTAACGACGCCGAGAGAAAGATGCATTAACGGAGTAATGTTTAACCCAGGGAGATGCAATGCACCAAGCCATATACCCAGCCTCAAGCTCGTTACTAACGTTAGGCACTTCGCGCTCTCGGTGCGGTGGTTCCGAACACCCTGGGTGGCGACTCCGCGTATCTTCCATTGAGTTTGAAAGCGACACTTCGGGTCCACATCTATCTTGGCCCACCAAGAATGCTCGCTGCGAATTCAAGTTTGGGAACGGGTTCGGACTACCATCTCCACTTGAAGTCGCGGCAGATGAGTACAACTGAGGCGAGGATAGTCATTCGACCCTCCAATCACGTCCAGCGTCCTGTGTGAGTTCGGTCGACCCAAGCGAACCATTCGAAGCTCTAACTGAAAGCCCCAAAGTCGCCAGCTGCCACATCAATACCCTTCCGCATGCAGATGCTGTAACCCTCGACGGTCGCAGCCAGCGGGCGGCGAGTCGAGTCACCGGATCCCATTCTCCACCGCTTCATTGTCTACAGTCAATACAGCAGTTATTCCCTTTGCAATTGCACAACGGCGCTCCTGGTCATGCCAAAATAATAAGCGACGCCACGTGTCCGTCTGTCATCGACACCGCCCCTCCTCGACATTGGGCCAAACCCAAAATCGACCTCATTTACCCTGTTTCTGGTCTCCGTGTCGAATGCTTCTCGGGAATTGGAATACTAGCCAAGTTCTACTGTCCCTCGAGAATGAGGAACTGCGATAGACCGTTGACAGCCTGTCTGTCCACCAAGTCTATTTCGACACAAAGTCTCAGTGTCGATTCGCGAACTGTAGGCCTGTCGAGCCCGTACGATCGGCGGATGATCGTCAGCGTCATTGTGAGTCGGGCTTCGGTTGACGGGCCCTCGATTACTGCTTAACAACACTAAGCGCCCCCCACAGCCTGCATCGTTAACTACTGGCTGCCACCTGGCAGTGAGCGCTACGCTGAGAGCATCGCATAAAGTCAAGAGCCACTATCTGTTCATATCCCGAGCATATTCCGAAACAACATTCTCATCCTCATGCTTCCTAGTCAATCGCGAAAAAAATGCGCAGGCATCACCCAGTCACTCCGAACAACTCTCATTCTCCGCCTGTTCGTCGGCATGCACGCCAGCTTGAACATCATCAACGTGAGCGAGGCCATGCACATCAACAAAAACGCGAAACTCGGGCAGATAAATGGATTGATACGTCAAGCCGACAACCACTGAACTGTCAAACTTAAGTTGGACGGCGCCCCTTTCGCAGGGAGGCCCTTCCCGGTTCGGGCACGGAATGCGAAGCTCGGGCTGCGTTCGACACCTGCGTCAGTGGGGCGCACGATTCTAGTCATCTCACAGAAGCGCCTGACCGCGTATATTAAGTGTCGGACGCGTCGACGAATCCATCTCAACACCCCTGAAGTTGCTGGAAGATGAGCCACGAAAATCCATATCTGAGCAAATACAGCTCCCTCAGCGGCGCTTTCGGGTCGTGTATGCTTTCCACCGAGAGAAACATCGAAATATTAACTTCTTGTAGACGGCCCGCCGAGTGTGCCATCGACACAGTCCTCGTCACAACCAAGCTTAAGACCACATGGGCAGCCAATGGCGACTCAGCCAATGACGACTCAGGCCTACCCGCCAGCCCAGCCTCACGGGTACCCCGGCCATTCCTACGCTGGCGGCCCGCATCCAGCGAGCAGCCAGGCTTATCCCGGCCAACCCTCCAATATTATGGTTCCCACCGGCATGGTGGGCTACGCGCCGGCCTCGCATGGCTATGTCCCTTCGGCGCAACCCGACATCAAGGCATGCGCCAACTGTGGCGCAACGTCGACGCCGCTTTGGAGACGCGATCCCGTGACTTACGACACGCTCTGCAATGCGTGCGGGCTGTACCTCCAGCAGCGCCGCGCACAGCGGCCGGTGGCGCTCATCGAGGCTGAGCGTGAATACCAGGACTACGCCGTGCCAGTGGTGGAGGACGCGACGGACGGCGTCGGCGAATCGCGGCCGCAGTGTAGCCACTGCCGAACGCGCGAGACGAGTGTTTGGCGCCGGAATAAGGATGGCGACCAAGTGTGCAATGCGTGTGGAGTATATCAGCGCCTGAGGGTAGGCGTTCTGCTGGACCGATATTAACTGGCTTATTAGAGAAACAGGGAAAGGAGCGTCCACTGTCGCTGCGGCGCGACAAGGTTAAGCCCAGAGCCAAGCACTCCCAAACTTGACATTCGATATGTTCACAAGGACTCCCGATAGTTTTTGAACCTGTGGCGCTTCGCTCTGTTGGACGTTGTTTTGCACATCTTATAAATACACGCGGACGAAATTTAATTATTCTATAGCTAGACTGTATGCATATGTACCTACTCCATTCGAGTTATCACCCACCGACTCATTCAAGTTGTTATGTTGTCCGATCGGGAGGGCACGAGATACTCACGGAAACCGGCGACCGTACGCGTACCGCGCGCCATCCGGACCAAGGAAGCTGCTCCGCCACCTGCCGACAAGCAGCCTTCGAATTGCTTGGTTCCTGAGCACTTCGAATGATGCATCCACGCACCCGTGCCTGACCTCAATTATGCAGACCACCAATTAGCGGTACTTGGCAGCGGATTTGATCTTCCGTAGCCCGTCCTCGGAGCACGATCAAGAGAAGCAACTATGATACGAGGTCGACGTAAGAATGTAGAGATTTTTGTTCCTAGGCAAAGTCCGAGCACGAACGATGTTACTGTCAACCGATATTTGATGCCGCAAGCTGTGACAGGTAGGAACGACAGCACAATAAAATTATTAGGAAAAGCCCACACCAGGGTTTCAGCTAAAAAATGGTCCCCCAAGCAAAATTTATATATAAGGAATAGTAGTCCAAAATAAGAGCCTTTTTTCACTGCTTTGATTGATAGGCAATAAAAGTTACAAAAATTGTGTCAGGGGAACCTCCCTTTCGGCCCGGAGACGCGCCCGATTCCGGTCCGACTCCGGTTCCGACTCCGGTCCGGCCCTCCATCTCGCCCGCACAATCACCGATCCGTCAACGCCCTCCCGACGGTCGCCCTGGGACCTCGCCTGCGACGCCGCCCAAGCCTTCTGTGCCCGACAGCGGCAGCTACGGACAAGCAGTATATAGTCAGCTACCTAGCAGGCAGACCCTTAGAGTTTCTTCTCTTCGGATCCTCCCCTGCTAGGTCAGCTTCATTTGTATTCGCTTACCAATGTTCACTCTTCGGATCCTCCCCTGCTAGGACCTTGATCTCAGGCCTCCGGGGTTGCCCTTACAGCAGAAGAAACTCTCTACGGGATTAACCGGACAAGATTGCCAGGTTCGGCGCTGACTCAGGCTCGGAGTACGAGTCCGTTCCGCCCTCGTCACCGCCCCTGCCACTTGTCCCCTCCTCCTCTACTCCTGTGGTCCCCGCACCCATCATGCCGTCCGGAGTCACTCCTACTGCAGACGCCCGGCTGGACTCACTCGAGGCGAAAATTGACAGCCTAACTGAGGCCCTTGCTTTACTCACCAACCAGGCTTCCGCTGCCGCTGCCGCCGCTAATAATGCTGGCGGACCCCAAACACCATCGCCGGAGACGTCGATTCCGACTCCGACTCCGGTCCAGGGCGACTCCGAAGCCCTTTTTGGCGACATCAACCTCGCCTCAAAATTGGTCTTGCGACCAAACCCCCCGTTCACCTTCAACGGCGACCGGAAACGCGGCCGCGCGTTCCTCTACGCCGTCCGCACCTACACCCGCCTTGCCCCCGAGGCCTTCGTGGTCAACGGAGAGGCGAGCGAGGAAAAGGCCGTCCGCTATGCCATGTCGTTTATGGCAGAAGGACCCGCTCAGCAATGGGCGGAGCGCCACGGAAGCAAAGCCCCGTTTCCGTTTCCGTCCTGGGGCTCGTTCGTTTCCGAGTTTCGACTCCGGTTCGTCGAGGAGAACGAGCAAGATCATGCTCTCTCCAAGCTGGAGACTTCCGCCTATCACATGGGCACGAAGGATGTCTACCAGTACACTGACGACTTCGAGGACCTGATGGACCTCGCCGGATTCGAAGACGCGTTGGTCAAGGTGACCAAGTTCCGCCATGGACTTGATCCCTTGATCAATAACGGAATCACGTCCTCGAACGACCCCCCGGACCTCCGGGACTACCTTAGCTGGCGCACCCGGGCCTTCCGTCAATACGAGGCCCTGGTCCGGGCCAAGCTGATCAAGTCAGCCGCCCCCAAGACGCCTGGCGGTTTGATTTGGACTCCGTTTCCGGTCAACCGCATCCCGGCTCCGGCCCCCTTCCGCCCGGTGGCTCCGGTCGTGCCACCCGCGGCCCACGCCCCCGCTCCGGCGCCTCCAGCTCCTGTCCCTATGGAGTTGGATCGCACCAGGGCTCGGGGTGCCCCTCGTCGCGCCTGCTTCAGGTGCGGCGACCCAAACCATCTCGCCCGGGATTGCCCCCTCCCCGCGGACCAGCTCATTCACTCAGGAATACTAATAAAAACGTGGCTACTGGTGAAGGGCCGTACTCATAAAACCTGGGGAAGGGCTCAAGGGTCACAAATGTCACACTTTTAAAAAAACCATTTTATTTATTTTTGGGTGTTGGATCATAGTATTGAGGATGGGATTGATGGCATCAAGATAAAGTGATCAATGTGGAACGATTTTTGATGGACATCAGTACCATTGATGGCTATGTCAGGATACATCAATTTTAGCCTAATTAGGGTGTATACCTTTGCCCTAGATCACAGGCCTACCTAGATGTTTATCCGGGTCTTCGGCCTGAAAAAATGGTGATTTGCCTTTCCATATCTGGTAATATCTTAGTCATAGCTGTCAAACTCATTGAGATATTCACAATTGATTGAATGTCACATTTTTTGTCACAGTACTCCGGCCATGGCTGGCATGAGCTCCCCCAGGTTTTATGAGTACAGCCCTTCACCAGTAGCCACAGTTTTATTAGTAAAACTGAGTGCACATCCTGCGCGGACGTCCGCTCAATGGACATCCTCGACGAGGTGATCCAACAACTCGGTGACGAGATGTTAGCGGAGTTGATCGCCCGCTACACGGACACAGCTGCCCTGCCGGAGACGACAGCGGAGTCGATGGCCGGAGAGGATTTTGTCCCCCGCGACGAGTGACTGGTGTGCCCTCGTTCGCGTCTATAAATCGTTTTGCCTCTTTGTATGATGAATGCAGTTCCTTGCCCTACAATGAGCCCGAAACGAAAGACACACCCTCTCCTGCCCCCGCCTCGACTCCGTCTCCGACTCCGTCTCCGACTCCACCCGCGACTCCGGTCATCGTCCTTCGCCGCCTCACTGCCTGGGAAAAGAAACTGCCCAGGCAGTACACTGTTGCCGCTGCCCCTGGGGCGAACTCCCTCCACCTCCCGTTGGAGCTCGAGTCCACCACCAGCGCGCGCTGAAGCTCTCACTCTCTGGGCTTGTCGACTGTGGTGCCACCTCCGACTTCATTGACATGAACTATGTCGCTCGGAATGGCATTCCGGTCCGCACCCTCGATCAGCCGATTCCGGTTTTCAATGTCGATGGCACCCCCAATGACGCTGGCTCCATCAAACAGATCGCGGACTTGGTCCTGCGCTACAGGGGCCATGCCGAACGAGTTCAACTGGCCGTCACCCATCTTGGCAAGCAAGACCTCATCCTGGGGTATTCCTGGTTGCGGAAGCATAACCCAGAGATCAATTGGGAAACCAAGGAGGTCAAGATGACACGGTGCCCCCGCAATTGCTCGACCTGCCGTGAGGAAGAGCGCGTCGAACGGACCGAGCTGCGGCGACTCCGGTCGCTTCAGAAGCGTCTTCGCTCTGGCCCGTTCCCCTCGGTTTGCACTATGGACCTCTCTGGCCCTGAGGACGGAGACGACTCCGATTCCGGTCTCGATTCCGACCTGCCTGATCTGACGCCGGACTCGGACTCGGATGACGAAGATGACCAGCTCGAAGATGGCGACCGCATCTTCTACACCTCGTTCCGTCCCTCAGAGGAGATACGCGCAGGTAGCACCGTCTCACAGCGTCTGGCCGAAGCCTTCGCCAGGAACTCCGCCCCACCGCCCTCCGAGATCCCGGACTGGGCTAAGGAGTTCCAGGACATCTTCAACAAGGAGTCCTTCGATACGCTACCGGAACGGAGAGCCTGGGACCACGCCATTGAACTTGTCCCCGATGCTAAGCCCACCAACTGCAAGGTGTACCCCATCTCGCCCCTCGAGCAACGCGAGCTCGACGCGTTCATCGAGAAAGGGCTTTCGACGGGCCGGATTCGCCCCTCCAAGTCTCCGATGGCGTCTCCGGTCTTCTTCGTCAAGAAGAAGGATGGCGGACTCCGCTTCGTCCAGGACTACCGTGCTCTTAACGCGATGACTGTCAAAAACCGGTACCCCCTTCCGCTGATCAACGACCTCATCAACCGGCTCAAAGGCGCTCGCTACTTCACCAAACTCGACATCCGTTGGGGCTTCAACAACGTTCGGATCAAGGAAGGTGACGAGTGGAAGGCGGCTTTCCGGACTAACCGAGGCCTGTTCGAGCCCTTGGTGATGTATTTCGGCCTGACAAACTCTCCCGCGACGTTCCAAACGATGATGAATGACATTTTTCAGGACCTCATCCTCTCCGGAGACGTCATGATCTACCTTGACGACATCCTGATCGCCCATTCCGACCTCCGGAAACACCGGCAGATTGTCCAGGAGGTCTTACGACGACTCCGGGAGCACAAGTTGTACCTTCGAGCGGAGAAGTGCGACTTTGAAAAATCGTCAATCGAGTACCTCGGAGTCATCATCTCCTACAACCACGTCGAAATGGACCCCGTCAAGGTCGCAGGCGTCTCCGCTTGGCCGACTCCGGAGAACAAGAAGGACATTCAGCAGTTCCTTGGGTTCGCTAATTTCTACCGCAGGTTCATTCGGGACTTCTCGACCCTTGCGCGCCCTCTTTTCGTGCTCACCAAGAAGGACCAGCAATGGACTTGGGGCGACGCGGAGGCCTCCGCGTTCCAAGCGATCAAGGACGCGGTCACCTCGGAACCGGTCCTGGTGATTCCGGACGACGCACGGCCTTTCCGACTCGAGGCGGACAGCTCTGATTATGCGACGGGGCGGTTCTTTCACAATCCGCCCCGGACGGGAAGTGGCACCCTGTAGCATTCTATTCCAAAAGCTTAAATGATGTCCAGCGCAACTCACG